ACAAGCCGCCGAACAGATTCAGATCGTCCCACCAATGAACACATGCATAGGAATACCTAGGCCCGCTTTTTGGGCGCCGGGAATATATTAGGTCGCATGCATCTACAGGCACGACAGACTGGTTTTGCGTGTTGACTACTGCATGTGTGTGTTTGCTTCCGGGGCTCCTGGACGAGGGGGGGAGCTTCTTCAATCTGTTCGGAGTTCTGAACAAGAACGAGAAATCATCATCACATCTGGCACGGATGTGGCAGTTTGAGATTCCCGAAACTTGGTATTCTCACGTGACTTTCTTCATAGGCTTCCTGTCCTGACATGAGGTCAGGGTTGGAGGGGGCAGGCATAGCACAGCTGCAGAGGCCTGGTAGCAATAGGCTTGCGTGAGAGAGAACCCCTGCAGCCGTTCTGTCGGGGTCTTTTCGCAGGCGTGCCACTGCACCCGCCGGAACCGCACAGTATCCCTTCCGGAGTGGAGTCCTGCCGCATCCTCAAAGTCACATGATGAGCATCTGCCGACAGTGCAAAGCAGCAAGCACGTTTTGAGGAATTTGGCTCGGGAGTTAATAGCAATGGCTTCGCATAAAATTCAAGCACACTCTGGTCATCACCTCCCGAACAGCCCGATCTTCGCCGCAGCCACGGGAGGACATGAAACCCTGTGAAGATCAAGCCGCGGGCGCCCAGGTGACATGTCTGTTCCAGTCGAGCGTCATCTCTCTGCTGTCCAACAAGCACTGCGCCGCTTTGGAGGCTCCGCCAATTCCACAATGCCGAGGGCTGGTTTCGGGGTGGGAACGCTTCAGAGCACTGACGTCCATTGTCTTTAGCCGATGTTTCATCCGTGTACAAAATTGTGAGTTTGGAAGCTACACATCAGCCTATTGAACCTTCTCAGGGTTCGGTACCTTCCAGATGGTCCTGATTAAGTACCTTCAGGGTTATAAGCATTCTACACGACCAGACAATTCATAATGATTCTGTGTCGTCACTAATTTCCACAGCGGCAGGAGCCAGCACTTCCTCTTGCTGTCGGTGTTGCAGCTGTCCGCTCCCAAAGCATGGAGCCGACATGCGTGGTCTCACGCCGACATCTTCCTTTGCTCTTTGACTTTGCGTCGCCGTGTGGCTTCGGGGTCTGTGGGCGAAAAAGCTCGCACCCAGGGCTCCCAAGTCTTGGACTCGATCATCGGTGCCGCGCGTGACCAGCAAAGATGTCCAGAGTTGCTTTCAGATTTCACGTGGTGTTGCCACATGTTACTGCCAGCTTTTTCTTGTTACATGCTTATAGCATATCGCAGCGATGCTGCGAGCCATGACCACATCCTCTGCTCAATGGGTATGTTTGGCAAGCTCTGAATGTGCAAACCGGGCAGGCCAGCCTAATGTGTGAGCACAGATGATGAGCCTCTACCGTATCTAGAGTCGCTTTGCCTGGGTTAGCGACAAGCACATCGAAGAAACTATCGTGTCGCGGAGGAGTCCATCGAAATCGAAAGTTCCGAATCCGGGATGAATAGTCGACAGCTGCAACAGTCAAAGAAACCAGGGTCCAGAAACTTCAGCAAGCCTCCCACCACGCTGCGTGTAAATTGTGGTCAATTCTCCCACGCCGCTGCCGTTCCCGAGACTCGTGAGAAGCCTGTGATTTGCAGCCAGGCATCGACCGAGCGATGGAGAGTAACTTCAAGTGTGAGCTTTGAATGATGAGGCAAGACTTTGGAGAGTAAGCGCAACAACGACTTACGACGATGCCGACGAACTAGCTTCCGAAGCAGACAGCAAGGTGATGTTGCAGTGGGTAATTATCTAAAGACGTTTTTTTGGTTGGCCTGCCTTGCAGAGGCTTAGTTTCACTTCGGTGTTGCAAAGAGCAGCGGCCTTGACCCAGCAGGGCTTCGGACAAAAGATCGCACGTGCACAAAGAACAAGTCGCAGATAAGGGCATAGGGACGGAGGCGGACACAAAGACACGGATGCCCAGAGAGGACGGAACGACAGGCAGACATACAGACAGGCAGACGAACAAGAAAGACAGAGAGACAGACGGACAGAGACAGACAGACAGACGGACAGACGGACAGACGGACAGAAAGACAGACAGGCAGGCAGACAGACGGACAGGCAGACAGCCTGACAGGCAGACGACGGACAGACAGACAGACAGACAGACAGACAGACAGAGAGGCAGACAGACAGACAGACAGACAGCCAGGCAGACAGACACCCGAACACAGACACAGACACACACACACACACACACGCACACGCACACGCACAAGGCAAACAGACACAGCCACACAGACACACCGACAAGCAGACACACAGACAGACAGAGAGACCTAGACGGACGGCAGAAAGATCGAGAGTCGCTCACACATTGCAAGCAATGCGGGGCTCCAAATGAACCGGTAGAGCAGAGACCTGGACCGAAAAAGCGACGAAGCAGCGCGAGCCACAGGCCAACAAGTTGTGGTTTGCCTGTGCATCGCCAAGGCCTCGCACTTGCGACACCGCTGTGAAGCGCAGAGAGCTTAGCTGCAAGTGGTGGCCTGCTTTGTCGGGATCTTTCGACTTTAAGCCAACATACCATCAATGCCATGTTGCGAGATTCGAAGGTGAGTCTTCTTGAAAAGTACGGGCGTGGAGTTGTCGTGTCGAGAAGAAATTGTCCTGCCAGCACTTGTTTTAGTCGGTGTTCTTCGCCGGGCCCAGTCGAAAGGCGCTTCCGCGAAGACTAGGTGCTGACAACCCACCTGAACCAACTACTCCCAGTAGGAGTAAGTGTTTGCATGACTGCCACTTCAACTTGCATTGTGTTTTCAGTAATGTGTGGCATCCACGTTGTTTAGCCGCCCAGCCGTGGTTGCAGGTAGACAGGTAGACAAGAGAGCAACAAAGTGTGCTGTTGCCTATCCTTATCTGAATCTGTGCCGTCCTGCTGCGGTTTCCCGAGAGGTCTTGACATTCCAAAGCGCCTGGTCTAGCAACTGTCGAGCTTGTATTTCCAGCCTATCCAGCACTAGCCCAGTGTAACGTGTCTATACTAACATTATACATATCATTCTCATATATATGTATGTATATTAATACATATCATAGAGAACAGCATCATGTATGTATGTATGTATGTATGTATGTATGCATGCATGCATGTATGTATGTATGTATGTATGTATGTATGTATGTACTGTCCTGTCCTGTCCTGTCCTGTCCTGTCCTGTGTTGTATTATATTGTATGGTATTGTATTGTATGTATACATATAGAAACATACACACACACACACATATATATATATATATATTTATATTTGTGCACTTGGTCTGAGGTTCCATCGCGTCATGAGACATGTTCTCGTTGGACAGCTTGCAAATGTTGCTGACTCCGCTGGTGGCTGCTTGACGAAGCAACTCACGCAAGCTCACGCCAGGGCAGTCCACACACATCTTCGGAAGGCACGTGGCATCTTCGAAGACCAAGCGTCAAGTTGTAGTCATGATAGCCTGTTATTTCCTGGATTTGTAGCAAGCCCGTATAGCTCTGATTCTTAGACGCAGCCATGGATGCAATGATCGCGTTCGCAAGCCCTTTGGGCGCTGCCCGTAGTGTGCCTCGGGTACAGGCCAGGGTCGATGCCGTTTTTGCTGCACAGCCGCTGTTCTAAGCTGCAGGGGGCTTGGTGCCATGGTGCCTCATCGGCTGCTGGACGCAAGTGATAACAGCACAACTCGACGGGCTAAATTGTAGCGAATTTCTTGAATGTGAAAGAGCGAAGTCCGTTGAGCATAGTCGGCTGGCAGGTGCAAGGACGCCCATTGCTGCAGTCTGCTCCCGGAGCAGTTAGCGGGAGAGGTGCAGCACGACGCGACACTAGGTGGCACTTAGTGGAAACAGCTCGCTCAGAGGCGTGACATCTCACTAGGAGACTCCACCTACGGCCACAAGTGAAGTACCGTGCTGTAAGCTTCCGCGCGATTCCCTGCAAGAGGCTTCAGCAGCCACCATCGCTTCGTGCGGGCTCCCAGCTTTCTGATGGGTCTGATGTGATGGGGGCTGTCTATGCATGCGATCAGAGACCTCTACACGGAAAGTACATGACATCCTGACCTCAAACTGAATCCCAAAACACTCTGCGAAATGAGAGCCCTCATCTTGCTGCGCCGTTTTCAGAGTGTAAACTCAGGGACCCAAAAAGGACATAAGCACAAGCATTTACAGGGATATCCCTACCTTATTTGGGCTTCAATCTAAGGGGGTTTACATGGGACATCCCTATCCGAATTTGTGCTGATGTGCTTGCTTGGGGCCCTAAAACCCTGAAATGTCCAGCTTGCAATGTTGGGGGCTCGGGGGGATCCTTGGTGGCAAGCACTCCACACGCGAGCAGGAAACCCAGCAACATCACAATCATCACAAGACGTATCCATCAACACAGCCATCCCAATCGACTGCTCAGTGCTGCCGTTCACCAGGTCGGCTTTCGGCGCCCTGGTGGTTCTTTCTGCCACCGCCCGGCTTGCCGGAGGAGCTTGAGCAATTCGGGTGCAGGCATCGCGCTTTTGTTGGGATCGGAGGCTTGGTCAAAGACGTTTTTTAGACGACGATTGGCCCGGATGAACAACGGGATGGCGCATGTGGCTGTTGTCACACTGTAGCCCAATTGATAGACTTATGCGGGCGCCCACCGAAAGTTTGGAATTCGGCTTTCTGAAAGCTTCATGCGATTTGCATCTCTGCTCCCGCTTGTGTGTACTCTTCAGGAGCACGCAAGCGGCTGCGCCGGCGGCGAAGTCTTGAAAGTGACTGGGATTCAATATTCAGCGCGTTTCCTCGGTTCAGAGCTCGAGTTTGAATGATCTCCGGTGCTAGCACCGTGTTGCTGTTGATTGAAGCGAAAAAAATCGGGATCGAAGCCACTCCACATCGGGATTGTCCGTGACTGTCTCCTCGAATCATTGGTGAGATTGCGGTGATTCCTACTTTGAAATCGGCAGCACTGAGGTGGGCCGGACGTGCCAGTGCCAAAGTACCCCGGGTGCCTCGACTGAGGGTCGGAAATGTGCTCCTCTCGAAAACCCTGTTGTTTTGCAGTTTCTAGATGCGAAAAAGCGGTGACCCCGGCTTTAGGAGGCTGCCGGGATGGTAGTACTCAGTAAGTTGAGATAGGTTGAGCACCTCACCCCAGGCCTTGCCTGTTGTTTCTTTGAGCCCAGCAGATGCAATTATGATCGAAGGTGGATAACCACCCTGCGCCGTACGTCAGTCCCGTCCCGTGCTCATGCATTCATTTCACCTAGAATGTTGACTGCGGAGATGGTCGTTTCAAGCATCATCTGTCCAGGCAACAATCCGCACCAATCGCATAGGAGAGGTGACGGGCTGAATATGAGTCGAGTCATTGTGGGCGGATCTGAATACTCCTGGAGCTTCGCTGCTTTCATAGTGAGCGACCTGTCATTCGGCAAGCACAACAGTTCAGCAGGAATGATAATTTTGATTCCTGTCAAGCAATAACTTCTTTCATTTGAGATATGTATCAACAGCAATAGCTCATGCTTTGGTGCATGTTCAAGCTGCTTTGCAATGTATAATCGACTGTCAAGCAACATCAGGGCGGCTGATCGCGAGAAGATGCGCGAGTTTGCAGAGCAGCTGCAGGACTTCTATCGCGCAGGCCGGATGCCAACGCTGACTGAGGGGGTTATGGTTTTTATAGTAGCCACGAGTGCTGCTGGAGGGTTTACGCGCTGTCTTGTGGAATTTCCCGGCTGCTTGCAAGAGTCCTGGATGCAAAAAAGATGTTTAAGCTTTTCGAGGGCCGATTCGCTGGTACCCAGGATCGGATCCGTTTTGGTGATATAGGTGTCAGACTTGTGGGTGTGTGGGGTAGGCAAGGAAGACCTGCAGCTCAACACACTACACCTATATATTGAACCATCTGTCGCCGAGGGCTGGGGACGGAGCACAGGCCAGTCTGCCCAAGGAGAATCTCGAACCCGGAATCCAGCAAGAAAGACCCACATTACACCTGTGGTGCTGACACTAACCTGGTTCAACACCCAGGCTAAAACAGTGCATCATTTACGAAAGCGGAGATATGTGCAGCTAAGTTTAACTTTTGTGGACATAATGCTGCCCATGTTACATTCCAGATTTATCCAGGTGGTCAACTGCCCATCGGCGACGTCATGGCGTTGTTGCAGGATGCAGAGACGTTCGGGCCACAATTTGTGACCGTTCATTTGTGCCTTTCAACCCTGCGCAGCACTCGAGCTAGCACTCAAGAACTCAGGTTTTTCACCCAGCAGAAGGCCCTGGTGTACATCGAGGCTTTCGACGGTGGGCTCGTCTGAGTGGAAGCCAGCCTTCTCCAAAAATATTCTGACCACTAAAGGCAAGCCTGTAGCCCAGCCCATCCCGGCCCGAAACATTGATCAAAAGCGGCACTACTTTAATTACCCACCAGGCATTACTTCACCCTCCAGGAGCATGCATGCTTCGGTGGTCTCGAAACTTGTGGCTGAACCGGTACGTACGATATCTTGGACGTTGGCACACTGCTGTTCTCCTAAAAGTTACATGCTTCTGAAGCCTGACCAGATCCTAGCAAGCGACAGCAGGTGCCCAAAGGCGAGCATCTCAACGTGGTGGGGGATGTGCCTGGGCTGGTGGGAGCTGTGCCGGTTTGGACACGTAGAATTCATCGAAACAAAGAGTTCCCGTTAAAAGCGTTTGGTGTCCTTTTCGCCGGGAATATTTATTCAGCGTTGTATATGAAGTGAGACATAGCGAAACCAGTCTTCGGTGCTGAAGTAATGCGGACAAACCAGCATATGCCCGCTCATGCCATGCGGCATTATAGTCTGTGCAGTTGGCGACGTAAGCCGTGAGGCTTCTTCCGTCGAGATCACCACCCCGACACTTCACTGCCCTAGCAGCGAGAGCAGCCTGCAACCTTGTTTGATGCTGAGGTCCATGGGCAGCTTTTCGATTTCTTGTCCATCTTCAAGCATCATGGCCTGCCCAGCCAGTCGTTCGCACACCAGAAGATGAGGGTGTGGGTGTCTGTCATCTGAGGAAACTAATTACAGTAAGAAGCTTTGCCAAAACCAACAGGATTCGTGAACAACCTCTCTGTTGGCCGAGGGAGATTCAGCAGCATGTCTACACCCCATGCCACTCAAGCCGTGACAGCATCGAACGGGCTTGTGGAGAGGTGTTCACAACCTGCTAAGGCCCTTGCTTGGTTAGTCTAAATCTAAGTAAAAGTCTAAGTTTTCCGGTCCGAGACAAGCGTTTTTCTTGCCTGAGAGGTGAAGAGAACCCCTTCCTGTTCAATGGAGACTTCGTTGATCGCGGGCCTGGCTCTCAGAGCCCACCGAAACCTGGGGGCTCACGGCTTGGGGCTGCTTCTCATACTTGTTCCATTCGGCCCTAGACCGTCGCCGCGGTCTTCGTGTGCTGGTGTAATTCACAGCTGCCGCGCAATCTTCCGAGGTCGTACTCTGTCGAGATCATGGTGCCGCCCGGCAATGAATCCTTTCAGTATTATTGATATACGCTGACCAATGCCAGTGACTTTAGGTGAGGGAAGACACAGGAAGGACGTCGTCACAAGCAGTAGATGGCACTCGACAAGTAGGGCCACTAAGCCAAAGCTATATCCAAGTCTCGAGAATAGTCTGAGGCTACTGCTGGCTTGGAAGCTCGCCTATCCAGAGCACATGCACCTGGCACGTGGAAATCATGAGGACTCAGAACCTTTCGGGGCAGGGGCATCTTCGGTGATTGCGGCGAGCCTCCATAGAACTCTGCATGCCTTGAATCAGTAAACACAACACTGCGAACTAGAGTCCCTCGGCCTACTTCGGCCGCGAAGCTCTGAGTTCGGAACTACAGCTGCATGTTCGGAAGGACTGTCAGATGAGTTCAGGAGACCTCGTGTAGACAATTACATGCCTAAAGGAAGACCTAATGTCGAACAAAGCCGCAAAGATGTAAACGAAACGCAGAACCAGAAGGGGGCAGACCGTCTTCGCCGCTTATGCCTACCTCTTCCAGTTTTCCCGGGCGAGCCCGGTCGACCAGGACGCTGACATGAACTTTAACTTTGGCTTCACGGGCGAAGTTTTGGTCAAGTCGCCCGTTTTGCACTCATGGCTGCCGCTACAGTCTTTGTTTTTGAAAATTGTGCTTGGCACAGGTGCTTCGATTACAGGATTAGATTCGAACCGCACCTTTGATATCCTTGGATCGGATAATTACCAATCCAGCAGGGCGTCTTGGGACATAATTTCGGGGTCGGAATAGTTTGTAATAGTTTCCTTACTATAAACTTAGCATTATTAACGTTTTAATGCGCCCAAGGCCCCAACATCATGTTTCAGTCATGACCGTTGAGGGCCCTACCGCGAGTCAGTGGCATGGTTCTACCCAGCTTTGACCACAAACCCTGAGCCCTGCGGTTTAGTTTAGGGTTTATGGGATTTAGGTCTGGGGGATTGGTGCGAGTTCCTTAACCCCAAGGTACAGGGCACAGCTGGCTGTTTGGGCCGGCTTTCAGCGGGTCTTCCTGTGCCTTTGACGAGCTCCTTGAGTAGGCTTGAGGCTTTTTGGGACTTCATGGTTTGGGGATTAGGCCTTGCCGTTTCACTTAACTTGGATTCGGGCTGCTGGGTGTTGAGTTTTGCTTGCAACTTCATGCTTGTTTAAATTGTTTCAGGTTGTGCAGTTGTGCAAGCCCGGATACAACAGGCTTGGCATGTTTTGAATTCGCAGCCGTTGGAATTTAGGCCATGTCGCTGTGCTTAGGCTTGAAGTTTGTGAAGTCGCGTCCGTTTTTTTGCTGCGATGAATGCAATGGCGCTGTGTTGATGTGTATGCATACATACACACACATATATATCTATATACTTATGTGTTCATTTATTTACCTATTTATGTGCAATATATATATATATATGCACAGATACATGCATACATACCTACGTACAGACATACATGCACATCTACACATGCATGTGTATGTGTACACATGTACCAGATTCTTGGAAGGTCAGGCTCCTCATAAGGGGCATGCTGCCATGCTTCGTTTTAACATTGACATTCCGCGATCCCCCCTAACAGCTCTGGCACTATCAACACATGTCCGGTACCATGGATGCTGGCAACCAGGGCTTTGTTTCTGCCAGCTACAATAGATGACAGTGTTAGGTGAAAGCAATGATATAGGTAGGTGGGAAGTGCCGAATGGGGGTTACAACTCTTAAACTAGAACAACATCTTCTCTGCTGTTTTTTGCAAGCTGAGGTCGTAAGGTCGTAATGGTTTGGCCAAAGCTTAAACTTCTTTGCAAGTATGCCCCATCAAGGAACCTCCCTCTATCACACGTGGTCAACAACGATGTGTTCGTGACACACGGCGGTTTGCCTCGGAAGGACGAGCCCGGCAATGGTGGAAGAGTGAGTTTTCTTAGTTTTCGGTCGCGGGTTGCCAGGCAGCGCCTTCGTGGTTCTGTCGTTCAAAGTTCAAAGTTCATACCAGAAGCCGGAACTCGAATTTACTCTCGTGCTTGGCAGGGAGTTGACATCGATACCGAAATGGTAGGGGGAGCAGGTAGCTCAGGGCTGGCATTGGCAAATCGGCCACAGGTCACGAAACAGCATGCCCAGGATTTCATAGGCATGCTGCTGTCGGCTCACGACATTGTGCATGGTGTTTGCCTGCCATCGGTGTGGGTTCGGGCTGTGGCTACTGCAGCTGTTCTGCAGAAGCTTGGCCCAACTGTTCAGGGCAACATCTGAGTTCCATGTATTTGTCGCACATAAGTCATGCGACCTGTCGAGGAGGGCACCAAGTTGGCAGATATCGAAGCCTTGGATGTGATGGAGGCCATTGCTTCAAGCTCTTTACGCGGCTGCGTTCATCACCGCCTTGCTTATGTCTGAAACAATCGAGAGCTGCTCCTCATGCGGCTGCCTCCACCGCTCCCGCCATCAATCCCGCCTTCATTACCACCGCCTCACCTTTGCGAACCACGGCCATCATGACGGCTTTTTTGGAAACGACTGTTTCGCTTTACCATGCTTTACCTGGTAAGCTTGCGTCCAATCCACATGCCGGTTCGAAGTGGTACATGAGAATGGTTCAAGGAAGAGACTCGTGGTGGTCATAGTGGTCGCAGTAAACCTAGCTGCCGCCAACGACGAAGACGGCGACGACTGCCACTACGGCAACTAGTGCTGCAGACCTCGGCAATGTTTGTGATTACCTTTGCTACTACGCTTACTACATCCGACTACTCCTGCTGCTGCCACTGCCGCTGCCAAGACCTCGACCACGACCGTTTCGATGCCAACTAGTCTAGTGACTACTTCTGCTACTACTACTACTA